AAAAAAAAAAAAAAAAAAAAAAAAAAAAACCTAAATAATATCATATGTAAATAATTCATAGTCGTGTGAGAGACAATATGTATGACATTTATAAAATTATAGTTTAATATAATGATCCACATAGTACTTTCTTTCATATCATTACTGAGACATAGATACATCATACATGGTACATTATGGTATTACCGAGAACTTCTAAACATGAAGTTCATGCATCACAACCATTCATTAGAATTCCATATCATATTTCATCTATTTAGAAAATCAATCTTCGAGTTAATTACCGAAATATATTAATAAAATTAAAAATAATAATGAGGTTATTTTAATTAATTTTGAAACCTCCACCGAATAGATATATAAATTTAGGAAGAGTGGGTTCTTAGATTTGAAGTTTTGAAAATGAAATATTCCCGTTTGTATGTATCCGTTGCGTGAGCGTTGATGTCAGAGCAGAAGCAGCATTTCCCATTTGGTTCCAGGAAGGTCCCACTTTTGGTGTCTCACACCAACAGTTTTTAGCTTACCTTTCACCCATCATTTACGCTCCACCAAATCAATTCTTTTTCAAATAATACTTTTTATCAATCCTCATTTTAAACCAAATTAATTTTATTATAATTATTTCTTCTAACTTATTTTAATAATGATTTTAATTATTTTAATTATTTTAGGATTGAGGCCGTAAAGCCTCTTAATGAATTATCTTGTTTTTAATAATGATTTCAATTATTTTATTAATAAATTAATATTATCTAGGTTATGAAAAATTCAAGGTTATTAGTATAATCTTAACCCTATATAATTGATATATAGAAGCTACATGTTCAAGTAATAACCTAAAGTGCTAATGGTATATGGATAAATTTGGGGTGCCTTATCCCAGTAACACTATTGATACAAACTAATTTGTAGCTATTATAAATGATATGATCAAATCGCTCACGTAGAGACAAATAAGTGAGTATCCTATATAATAACTCACTAGATGAACTCCGCTGCCTACGAAATTTTGATGTTGAGTATATTATAGCATTTTGAGCTTATATGAAATTTTTTGGTCATTGGATAAGGATAAGTAGGTAAACCAAGAAATGGTGTAAAATGATCATAATGCCCCTAAAGGTAATTTACCTTCGGTTCATAACCTAGATGACGTCCAAATGCTATTTAACTCTATAGTGGATCTTATTTTATGATGTTTGATGATGTATTAAAGTTTGAAAGCCATTGGAACTCATTAAGTACCAAAACCAAGAATTAGGGGTAAAATGACCATGGTGCCCCTAACGAAGACTACCTGCGGGTTAATCCCTAAATGACCTCCAAATATTTATGAAATATTGTATGAATCCTTATCTCAGGAGGTTGTATAAGGTAATCATGTTTGGGAGTCATTAGAAAATGTTGGGTAGCGAAACCAAAATATGGGAAAAACGTACATCACGATCCATATGACTTTACCTCTTAGATGATTAACGAGGTATCCATGAAATAAGAGATTCCTCATAAGTACCCTTGGTTGCTAATAAGATTCTACGTGCACAAGATCACGTTGGGCTATTTCTAAGAAGAGCTTTTAAGAACCAAGCTTGACCCAACACATTATGCATAACCTAGGATCGCCAAGAATCCAAGAAAACACCTAGGTTAATGCAAATATCATATTTAACAAGTTGCTAGGATCCATGCCGGAAGTAACCATGGTCTCCCATCACGAAGGGCACCACGAGGGCCCTATTCCTCTTTAGGTGGGATGCCCTACTATATGTACTATGAGCAGGATGCCATGATGGACTTATTATTTCCCTCACCAAAATGAGATGCCCTGCATCATGATTTGCCAGCAAGATGTCACGATTATGATGATGCCACCTATGCACTCATGGAGAGAAAATTAAGGGTTACTTTGGAAAAGTTTTCGGGAAGAAAATACGATGCATTACATGACAACCTGTAAGGTTTAGTTCCTAAAAAAAAACACGTAGACAGATCCTAGCTCAAGGTCTATGCTCTAAATTACCAACTATTTTCTTTAAGGCCTTTTCTCTATGACATGAGGATAAGTTCAAAATTTCAAGGTGAATGGAGTAAGTTTGGAACCTAACTAAGATGGAACATAAGAAAGCCTAAACAAAACACCTCAAGATTCAAGACCCTTCTAGAACCCTCTAAAGAATCCATTATGAATCTATGACTTTCTAGAATAACTTATGTTACTGGGATGGGTTCATATGATTACAAATGCATATTACAACTTATGGTTCCAGGAATTATGAATCTTAGGAACTTACAATATTGGGAATTTAGAACCATACCAAACAAGCTCTACAACTGCCAAGGCAAGAAGAATGCTAGGTACCAAGAAGAATGCTAGGTACACTTAAGAACGAGGGACCAAGGTTCTCAAACTCAAAAACTCAAGAATGCTAGGTAATACTCTAAACATGTCCAATTGTGGCCCATATCTTCCACCACGTAATGCTTTCAAATGCCATGTTTCCTTTTCTAGATGGGATGCCCTACACCATGTTTCCCTTGCAGGATGCCATGTTTGACCTCATGTTTCCCTCACCTAGATGAGATGCTCTGTGTCACGGTCATGCTCGTCCAGGGCATGTTGCCCATGGCCGCATGCCCATGACAAGCCAAACCCTTGTCATGTCTTTCACTCTAGTGTTTTTTCTTTTGTAATTCTAGGGCGTATGACGCCTCAAAAATATCATGTCTAGGCCTGCCAGACTTAAAATGGCTCAGAATGTACTATAGGGGGATATGACTAGTTGTCAACTTCTCCCTACCCAAGGTTATATATGCTAAGCCGTTGTTATCTTTCTCTTGCTTGCTAATATAACATCTCTTTCCAAAATCTCTCTTTCTAAAATCTCTCTCTCTCGTTTTCTAAAACCTTCTTTTAAAACCAAGACTAGAGGCTTGATCGTATGTCGCTTGGCCGTAGGCGACGCAAGAACAAATTGGCTTAAGCTCACTTGTCGCTGGAAAGTGAGTGCCGCACAATCGCTAGTCCGCTGCCTTCGAAAGCGCGATTGTGTCAAGTGGTATCAGAGCTTTGTTAGCTCCGTAACATCATAAAGATCGAGATCATGTCGACGTCAAAGTCGACACCCAAAGCACAAGCCGACCGGCTTACGCTAATAGAGGAGGAAATGCTGTTCCTCAAAGAAGTCCCTGACACACTCCGGTTCCTGGAAAAGCGGGTGACCGAACTGAGTGAGAAAGTCGTAGAAGTCGACGCAATGGGCAACCGCCTGGATGGGTTGCCAATCGCAGAGCTGATGTTTCGAGTGACCTCACTCGAAGAAAGAGTTGCTCCTACGAGCAGCCCAAAACCGTCTGGTAGTCCGGATAGCTCTGTCGCGCACAAAGAGGGACGTGGCAAAGAGTTTGACGTACTACAAAATACAATGATGAGTTTGTTCAATGGATTAGCTGATGAATTCAGAACAACAATTGACAACCTCCAAGAAAGGATGGCCGCCATGAGCACGCGAATTGAAGTGACCATGAAAGCCGTGGAGGGCGTCACGGCTGGGCAAACTAATGCAGGATCCAACAAACTAAGGTTCCCAGACCCTAGAGCCTTCAAAGGGAATCGGGACGCCAAAGAGTTGGAAAACATCATCTTTGATGTCGAACAGTACTTCAAAGCCACGACGGCTTGTATCGACGACAAGAAGGTGACCGTAGCCGCGATGTATCTCATAGACGACGCCAAACTGTGGTGGCGTACGAAGGTGCAAGACATCGAGGATGGATTGTGCACCATCGACTCATGGGAGGACCTCAAGAGAGAGTTGAGGGAACAATTCCTCCCCAAAAACGCAGGACATATAGCAATGGAGAAAATAGTAGCCCTGAAACACACTGGAAACATACGGGACTACGTCAGACAGTTCTCA